TAAAGAAGAAGAATAAAATGAAATAATTTGAGAACTCAAAACAGAAACAGCTTCTAGAATATTAGAAATAAATTACACTGATTAAAAGAGCAGAAAAAAAATACAAAAGGTGTTCAGAGCCTATGCAGATCTATGCTTAAAAACAAGAAAATATTAATAAAGTAAAAGATAACACAAGTATATCCAATATCAAAAGATATAGAATGGGAATATAGTTTAAATAACATTCATTTAATAGCCTTAATTAGAATATTTAGAAAAATCATAACAAAGATACTAACAAAAAGACTTAGTAAAATTTTTGTTAAAAAAAAATACTTAAAGGACCAAACTACACAGGCCTTTCAGGAAACTTAACAGAGCAGCTAGTACATATTCTAAATATAATAATGAAAGAGACAAAGAAAAAAAACAAAAAATTATAGATACTTCTGCAAGATATAAAAAAAGCTTTTAACTCTGTTTCACTTAAAAGTCTTGAATGAGCTTTGCAATAAGTCAAGATATCTAAGAAGACAATCAAGTATATTTTGAATTTTTTTTATAAAAAACAACTTAAAATAATTACAGCCTACAATTTAATAGAAAAAACAACAACAGGATATGGAATAGATCAAGATAAAGTAATATCATTACTAATATAGCATCTCTTTTATAACCTATTACTGAAAAGGATACAGAAAAACAAAAGATTAGACTATACAGTAGAACAAAAGATCAAAGAAGGAATATATTGCAATAATATCACAAGCTAATATCAGATAGCAATTGCATATACAGATGATATGACATGGATTATGAACAACAAAGAACAGCTATTAGAAATATTGAAAATAATAGAAAAGTTCTTTAAAATAAATGATATAGAAATAAATAGAGCTAAGTCAAAGTTGATAATAATGAACAAAAAAGTTAAAAAAAAGAAAAGAAAGATAATATTTGAAGAAAATAAAATAATAAAGGAACCAAAAAACAAGATAGTTCATTTCTTAAAAATTTGACTAAACAACAAAATATAAAAAGTTCTAATTAAGAAAAAAGTAAAAAAAATAATAAGCTAAATAATAAAAGATCTTAAGTATAAAAAGATGACAATGAGCTAGATAGCATAAATAAACAATATAGTGATAATATCAAAGTTAAGTTATATGTTGCAATTAACAAAAATGTTAGAAAAAGAGATAAATAAAGTATACCAACTAATGATATATCTGGCAAAACAAAAAAGCAGCTTACTAAGAACATTAGAGAATTGCATAATAGAACACAAAGATCTGGACAGCTGCAGAACATTGTAACAAGAATTAAGTAAGAGGTCTGTTAGCAAGACTTAACAGAAAAGATGAATTAGGGCAGTTAACAAAATTAAGAATAACACAAGATTGCCAAAAAGCAGAATTAACTAAGAACATATGGAAATTAAAGAAGCTGCCAAAAAATAGAACATGTTAGAAGAATAATTTTTTTTTTTTTTTTTTTTTTTTTTTTTTTTTTAATGCAAATTGGCATGCTTTTATTAGGTTATACTAAAAATACATTATATTATTTACATATATAAAGCTTAGATTCCTTTAATGAATCTAGTTATTTTTAGCTTTCTTTTTTTTATACAATATGTGTAAAATTTTAACATTTTTCTTTAACCTAATTTCTATTACTCTTCTAATTTTTTCTTCAGAATTGGCAGTATTTCCCCATCTTGCTTGGGTATACCATAGCCAGATTTCATAAATAACTGTCAAGTGCAACCATAAGGCTGTTTTTCATAGCTATGTATTTGAGATATTAGATATAGTAAAAATTTTTTTCATTGTAGTAGGAGGTGCTTCTTTTAATGAAACATTTAGAAGCTTGTAGCCATAAGTCCATATAATTTTACTAATTCTACAATCTAGAGTGAAGTGTTTTATAGTTTGTTTCTTATCCTTACAGTTAGAACAGCTTTCATTTATATTTGAATTAATATGTACCAACCGATAGCCAAGTAGAAGGGCTCTGTTTTGCAACCTCCAAAATATATCTTTTTTCTTATTTTGAATTTCTTTAGTAAATAACCAGTTGAAGTGGTCTATTGAGTGTTTTTGTACTTCTAATAATGATTGAGAAGCTGTTGGCTTTATTGATTGTATTCTTAAAAACTCTGTTGCTTTCTTGACTGAAAATTAATTTCCTGACTTATTCAATATTTCTAGCTCTGATAATGATCATAGCCAGTTGTTGTTTGTAATAACTTTGCCTTTCAGTCTCTTCCAAGCTGTTAGATAAGGCTTTCAAGCATCTGGCCAACCCTTTAGTTTTATTGTACTTTGATTCAGTGCTTCTAAAATTGTTGTTTTTCTTTTATTTTGCAACTGTTATGAGATTGCAATTCTTTTGTGCTCTACCTAAAAGTTATTAAATATTAGCAATTTAATTCAGATGAAGATAAGCCTAGAGTCTAAAATGTTCTTAAGGACTGAAGCTGCCAATCCTTCTTTCTCAAGATTTAGTTAAAATGTTGAGTATTTAAATAACATTTTTGACTTGTTCTTAATCTATCCTGAAATAAGAACATTAATTTTGTCAAGCTGTTTTCTGCTTGAAGGAAGCAAATATGCCAAGTACCAGATTTTAGAAATTAATAGTGCTTTGGCAATTAGAATTTTTTCTTTAAAGGAGAGATTTCTCAGTTTAAGCTTTTCAATCTTGTGCTTAATACTATCTGTTAGTTCTTCTTATAATCATTTTTTGAGATTGCCTCTTGAGTCAACTTCATATCCTAGAATTCTGAGTGAATCATTATTGCTAGCTATTTTAAAATTTTGTTGATTGGGTAGTTTTTCACTATGTGTCATGCTTGTAAAAGAAATTATAATAGATTTTCTTAGTTTATCTTGGCATTAGTTGCCTTATTATACTTTTCAAGTAGTGTTAAGACTTTATTCCAGTCTGTAAATGATCCAATTCTAATAGTTAAGTTATCCACATAAGTTACTGTCTTGAAGAGTTAATTTCTAAGCTTGATTCCTTGAATTTCTTCTTGAAGTTTAAGAATTAAAAGGTTGAAAGCAAGAATATATAGTAAAGGTAATAGTGGGTCCTCTTGCTGAACTCCTCTTTTCACCCTTATAGGCTCAGATAATCTCTTTGAATCTGCGATATGTGCTACCTATAAGCTAAAAAGTGTATTTACAATTTTGATAAAGCTGTTATCAAAGTTCATTTTTTCTAGTACTTGTATAATAAACTTGTGACTCATTCTATCGAATGCCTTTTGTTGATCTAATAGTATAAGCCAGTATAAGAGAGATTGGTCCTCTTGGTTCCTCAGGATAGTAATTATATCTAAAGCTGTATCTACTATTGATCATCCTTTTATAAATACTTGTTGTGATGGACTAATAATTGAGCTACAAATTTCATTAACCCTATTAGCTAAGATTTTCATAAAAATTTTGGCATCACTATTAGTTAGTGAAATAGGCCTTCAGTTATTAACATCACTTAAGTTTTCTGCTTTTTTAGGAATAAGTGTGATTATGCTTTTGGACCATGATTTAGGGATAGTGCCTGTTTCCAGACAGTAGTTAAAAAGACCTGTAAGTGCAGGAATAATCTTTTCTTGAATATTTTTATAAAATTTAGAAAGAGAGATCAGTACACTTTTGATTTCATCTTTTGTAATATATCTTTTAAATAATATATTTTGCATTATCATAATAGGAGTAAGATTTTGGGTAAAAAAATCAGCCTCATATTGACTAATTTCTTTGGCTTTGTATATATTTTGGTAAGTATTTCTTATATATTGAACTGTTCTGTTAATATTGTCTGGTTCGAAGTTGTTTGATGAAGAAATTTTATCTTTTGCTAATAATGTATTTTTAATTTTATATTGTGTAAAGAAAAATTTTGTTGATTTTTCTCCTTCTTCTATCTATTTAGCATTGGATCTAAGTTGCCATTTCTCAGAAAGAGTATGAAACTCATTCTGAAGTTGTATGCTAAGGCCTTTTTTTGCTTTAAGAAGATACTCTGAGCTTTCTTCCTTAGCCAATTTGTTGTTTAGTTTAGTTAGTTTTTTTGAAGCTTTTGTATCTTTTTCTCTGGTGCAGATGGAGGCCTAAAGGCTCTGATTATCAATTGTATCCTGCATTTAGATAAATCCCATTTTGAGAAGTCTGCAAAGCTCTTTATCTCCTTGACTATTTCTGTTTTTAATTGTTTATTATGCTAGCAATTTCTGTTGAATCTCCATTGTTTGGCTCTAGGTGACTCAGATGTGAAGTTTAGTTCACATTCTATCATTAGATGATCAGAGTTGCCAAACTGTGTGGTAGTATATTTACAGTATTGGCTGTAATTGGCATCAATAAAGATGTAATCAAGCCTTGTAGCTATACTACGATTTCCTCATGTATTCTGGTGATAAGTAAGAAAAGGTTTTTGGTTGTTTAATAATAATGCTGTATCGATTAGATCTGAAGTAATTTCTTTTAGTAATTTTCTTGAAAGATCATTAGCAATTGGTGCATGGCTAATGTGATCTTTTTGTGAATTCAGATTTGTGTTAAAGTTACCTGCTACTATGTTAATATGTTCCTCATTAAGTTGCAGATTCCAATTATTAAAAAACTGTACTCTGTCCTTTGTGTTTGAAGGAGCATATATGTTGTTTAATTGAAAAGAATATTGTTTGTATATAAGGTTTGCTGATATTACTTGTCCATAGTGGGATTCTTTAATATTTTCCAGCTTTAAATCATGGTTTCCTGTAAGTATTGCTGTTTTGGAGGTCCAGTAAGAGTCAAAACCCCATATTTGTTTTAAAAAGTTTCTTGTATGGATATTTTCTAAGTTAGTTTCCTGGATCATAATTATGTCTAAGTGGTATGATTTTAACAGTATAAGTGTTTTGTATGCTTTTTCTTTGTTGTTTAGTCCTTTGATGTTTAGTGATGCAATTTTGATTTTTTTAACCATTAAAAAATAATTTAAAAAAGTAGAGATTGAGGTTATGCCTATTGCAGTCCTCTGGCTTTTGTATAGGGAGCTAATGTCTCTAGGACTGTAGTTCTTCCCACTTTTGGGATTGCGATTCTGCTTTTATTTCTATGCTTTTTTTTGGAAACTACTGTAAAACCTTGTTTATTCTCTTTATCTATAAGATCAGTATTGTTTGCCCATACATTGTTGTACAGACTTGCAAGTGAGTCCACTGGTACATTTTCATGTTCCATATTTGGCTTGTCCTCAGTTGATTCTATTTGATGTTCTAATTGACTTTCTTGTTCATTGTTGCTTGTTGATATCTCTGTGTCTGATGTTGTTTTATTTTGCATTATGATGTTTTTATCTTCTGTGTTTATTGTTTCAAGTTTCTCCATAGAGTTGTTCATAGTATTTTTGTTTTTTAGTTCCTTGTTTGCATAGGGATTTTCTGAACTGAATTCAAAAAGTTTCTTTATGCATTGTTGGAGCTGAATTTTTTTTTGTTTCTTTTGTTCTTTTCGCAATTTGTGTAGGTTTCTAGCCTCAACTGAGAGTTTGTAGTCTGGGCAGTCTTTTTTTATATGACCTGCTTTGTCACAGAAGAAGCACATCTTTTGTAAATCTAGGAATTCAACTTGTCAAATCTGAGTTATCTGTTGTTTCAAAGATTACAACCCACTGGTCTGACATTATAGAGGTTCTTTTGTGAATCAGTGGTTTAATCGATGAGATTATGACAATATCTTGGAATGCTTCTTTAATCTGCTCTGAAATAAATTCCTTTTTTCTCATTGATGCATTTCGAATTCTAACTAATAGGAAGTTGCATCTGATGTTTATAGGAATATATCCTTGTAAGGTCTGTTTAAAGACAGTAACACCTTCAGCTGCATATTGCTGTTGTTTGTTTTCATCTGAAAACAACCTCTAAATGGGATCTTTTGTTTTTGTTAATCACTGGCCAGGCTGCAACCAGGTCTTTTTTCATTTCTTGTTTCAAAGCTTCTATGATTCTTGTAGTAGAAATGTTTTCTAAACTAAATAATTCAAAGATTAGCATATTTTCATTTTTGGTAATAATTCTTTTTCACAGAGAATAGGTAAAGTATATGGCTTTTTCTTTTTCCAATTTTGAAAAAAGATCAGACTACTGTTATGGTTTAGTTTGTTTATACTAGGCTTCTGATTAGGCACCTTATGTATTGTTTGTTTTGTTTGTTCATCTGAATTTGATTTTTATTGCTTGAAGAAGTGACTAAAGACAAGTCTTCTTCTTCAAGTTTTGCTGTTTTATTCTTCTGGCCTTTAGGAGTTTCTATAGTGACCTCTGACATATTTTCTTTTTCCTGTTTTTTCTCAGTAATAAGACTATCAGACCTGTTGTTTTCTTCTTGTTTTATTTTTTTGTTTACATTATTAGACTTTTCTTTAAGGCTTGTGATTTTGGTTTTTTTATTTTTGTAACTTATTGACACTGAACTAGTCATAGTTAAACAAGCTTGTTTTCTTTTCCTGAGCACAAGGGTTTTAGCCCTTGTGTTGTTTTTAGTAGATTTTTTTAATAAAGGTTTAATAGTTTTTGTTTATTTTGTTCTCCACTACCAAATGTAGATGGAGAGAGAGAGAGTTTGGAAGAACAATTTAGTCTGCTTAACAATAGTTAAAGTAAAAGAGCTGAGAATAAGTATAAGTACATAAAGTGAGCTATGAATAAGTATAAGTACATAAAGTAAGCTATAAATAATGAGTAGCTATAGTCACAAAATAGTTGAACTACTAGAAACACAACTGTAGAAAAGAAGTAGAGCCAAAATAAGTAAAGCAGGCCTAATATATCTAAACCAACTATTTGATGCAAAAGGTAAAAGACTAATTATGAAAAAAACTCTCTTCACTAATTATTCAAACACAAAATTAACCAAAAGAGAAAACCAATTTTATGCAAAAGTAGCCTTCTAAACTACTTTGGCAGAACTAAGTAAAAAAAAGGAGCATTTAAAAAAGGTATAAAAAAGAAAAGAAATAGACAAACACAAGAAATACAACACAAAAAAGGCAAAGAAAACAAAAAATTTTTGAAGAAAATGCTTAAAAATCTGAAAATTTGTATTGTTTTGGGGAATTGGCACTAACTTGATATTACAGATCTGTTTTGATCACAAAGATATAAACAAACAAGCAATTTAACTACATATTAGACAAGCAAAACAAATATGTGCTTAATCTAGATAGAAAATATGAATATAACCAAAAGATATAGCAGCAGTTTGATAACAATATATATTAATAAAGCATACTGGGCTATCAATAGTATGCAAAATAGTATGTTTATTAAACAAACAGGTAAAACATATATATTGCTTAGCAGAAAAGATGAAATTGTTGCTATGTTGACAAATCAGAATTCAGAAGAAGTTGCTTTATTAAGATTAACAAGAGAATTAATAGACAAAGCAGAGAAAAAGCAACCAGAAAGAAAATTAAGCATAGTACAGCAAAGCAATTATGCAATGATAGTAGAACCTACTCCAGAACAAAGTCAAGACAGACTAAAGAGGAAATGTCACCAAACTACAAAAATGAAAAAGACACAAAAGGTTGAACAAAATCAAATGTCAAATGAAAAACTAAAAGAAAAGAATCAATATGAAGTGAGAGCCCAAGAAATTGACAAGATAATATAGCAAAAAGAGGTAGCAAAGATAATTATCAGTAAGAACAGCAAAATGGAAGTAGGACAAATCCAATGAAAGCAAAAAAATTTACCTAGTTAGAAAAGAAATACAGAAAAACAAAAAGAGGAGCAAACATCAAACTAGAATTCAAAAAAGAAATTGACATAGTAGAAGAACCTCTTGAAGAAAGCATATGGACCTCAGGAAAAAGAAATTATAACCAGAACAACAGCCTATTCATGAATATACTAGCACACAACATACCAGAAAAAACAAAAGAAGAACACATGAAATTTATCAGATAGTCTTTAAAAAATAACATATATATCAAAAACTGTGAGTATAGCAGAAATGAAGCAATACAAAGAATCAGCAAAAAGAAGAGTAACTAGTATAAAATAATACTAGAAGAAAAAGAAAACACTATAAAGAGACAGATGCAACATAAGGAGAGAAGTCAAAAGAGAAATAGCAGCAAATTAAGAACTAAAGAAAAAGAACTTGAATAAAAAGAAAATAAAATCAAGACAAACAAAAACCAACATGAAACAAATGCAGAATCAGAAAACACAAGTTATCAACAATTTGTGACTTACTTACAAAGAAAACTAGAATACATCTATAGAAGATTTAGGAAAGCCTATATAGTAAGTATTAAGAAATCCAAATATAAAGCCTTAGCTGTAGTCAAGATAGAGAAAACAGATAAAAATATTTCATGATTCTATGGGCTATATCAGTAAACAACAATAAACTGGTATGAGTAACCAAAAAAATAGAAAACCATAAAGCAAGAGAAGGACAAAGAAAATATATAGCAAAAGTGATAGAATTACCAGGAAGCATCTCAGAAGTCTTACTACTACAAAGTATAAAAAACAAAGGAGTTAAATCAGTTTATATTTTATCAAATAAAATGAAACCCAAAAAAGATCAGCAATAGTCATGTTTGCAACAAAAAGAGACATAAGAGCTGCCCAAACAAAACTGATTATATATAACAACTTTTGAGTTTATTGGGTAAATAAAGAGAAAAGAAAAACAAAGAAAGAGAAAGTCTTGAAGTAAAAAAGGGAAGAAGCTAGAACAGACACAGCCAGACTTCATGTGCAGAAGAAAATAGAAGCAGCAGAGAAAAACAAAAAAATAGAGCCTACACAAAAAGTACAAAAACAAAAATAGTGTAAGCCAGAAGAATATCTTACTAAATAAAAAAAGCAGGTCTCAAAGCTGAAATAAAGAAAACCAAACAAGAGATACAAAGATGAAGGAAGAAGAAGTAGAAGACCTTGAAGAAAGACCAGAAGAATTCAAAATGCATAAACAAGAAAGAGAATCATGTATAGAGAACTTCTTGAAACAAATTTGAAAGAGATTAGAAAGACTAGAAGAGACAAGAAGTACAGCTAGAAAGGGTCTAGCTAATTGCTTCTGAGAACATCCTAGTTGAACTTATGAATATAGATGAAGAGATCAAAGATTTTTCACATGATAAGAGAAGGACTTTTGAAAAAAGAAATAAAGAGAAATCTCCTAATCCAAAAAAAGTAAAGAGAAAAAAAGGAAAAGAAAAAGCAGAAAACACAGAAGCAAGATACAAGCAGTTAAAAGAAAAATAGAAAAAAGAAAAGAAATAAATAAAAATTGCATGTCACAATCAATGTTAACAGACTCAAGACCAGAGGTTGGAAATTAGAAAACCTGCTGGCTGAGCAGAAGAAAAAAAAATAGCATTTTTGGGAATTACAGAAATGCATTACAAAAAAAAAAAAGAAAATCTTGTTGCACAACCTTAATACAAGATTTAAAGGTTACAGAACAAGTGCAGTACCAAACAAGAAAAAAGGATTAGGCATTTGGATTTTAATAGATGAAACTTGAAAGAAACATGTTAGAGCAGTTAAAAGACTTAGTGAATATATGATAGAAGTAAAGCTATACTTTAAACAACTAGTACTAATAGTAATAGAAGTGTACATTTCACCAAACAACAAGACAACCAATAAGAAGATATAACAAAAAATTGTAGAAATAGTAACAAACAAAAAAAAACACACAGAAGTAATCATATTTGAAGATTTTAATCACACAGTTGACAACACATTAGACAGACTGCACCCATAAATAACAATATAAAAAACTGCTAGTTTTTAATTGGCTCAAGAGACAGGGTTTTACAGACTCTTTCAAAAATCTGCATCCAACAGAGAGAGCATAGACATAATCAAATCAAGAAGCAGCAACAAAAATTGACTATATCTGGTTGTCAGAAATGATTACTGCTAACCTTCAAGAAGCCAATATAGAAGAAGCAGAAAGCATAACAGGCAGCAACTATAGGAAATTAATAACAGTTATATGGTTAGAACATGTAATTGTGAACCAGAGTTGTGCAGAAACCAAATACAAAGACCAAATGAGAACAATATATCTGTATAAAGAAGCAAAGCAAGAAGACTAAAAAGAATATGCCAAAAAACTTCAAGTACAATTAGAGTGGAAAAAGATACTAAAACAATTAGAAGAAAACAGAGAAGTTAATATGTACAGTACAGATATGCTAAATCATATATGAAATGCAATAGAAGAAGCTATAACAGAAGCAGCAAATAAGCAAATTCCAAAAAAGAAGATATTTAACACAAAAGCAAACAGAAGACATCATTAGAAGAAGCTATAGCAGGACAGAAACATAATTAAACTTCAACAAATAATTAAAAAGGTGAAACTATAAAATATAGAAAGAAGAAAAAGAAGAGATAAACAATAAACTTAAAAACATTGGCAAGAAAATAGGAGTAGTATTACCAAAGTTATACAAACAATGGTCAGAAGCATAAATAGATAACATAAAGGCTGGTAAAGAATTTTGAAAGATAAAAAAAAAGAAGAGTGGGAATGAGCTTAAAGAAAAAAAATAGAGGAAAATATAAATAGAAGAAGTGAGATGATAAAAACTGACCAAGGATGAATAATTGCTAGCTTACTGAATAAACAATACAAAAAGATAATTTTAAACAAGTTTATAACCCAAAATAAAGATGAGGTCAGTCTAATAACAAAACCTAAGGCTGTCTTAAATGGTTTGGCAAAGCATTTTAAAAATCAATTCAGAAAATGGAAAACCAAACTAAAGAAGATATCAGAGAAATGAATAAAGGTGTACAATCCAAAAGAGTGAATTAAGGAGTCCTAGTATAAAAAGTTAGAAGAAAAGATAGAAGAAGAAGAATAAAAAAACATACTAAGACAGATCTATATACACTTTCTTCCAAACATACAAGTTTTGGAGTAGAGTAACTCTTTTTGCTAAAAATAAGAACAAACAACAAGACAAAACTGGCTAAAGTAATTATTAAAACAAGGGCCCTTATCCTTGTTCTAAGAAAAAGGTCTTTTACAGAATTTCAATATACAAAAAGCACAAAAACAACAAAAAAAATGGCATCAGCAAACAGCAAAAAAAAAGTAAAGAAAAACAAAGAAAACATACCAAGTTCTTCAAGTTCAATAACTATTAAAGAAGAAGCTACTGACATGAGCAAAAAGAAAAGCAAAACTAAAAGAAACCTTTAGTGAAAATTTAGCAAGCTGGGACAAACAAGTAGAACTGAAAATAAAGAAAATGAAAACCATTCAAGACCAAAAAGTAAACAATACTAACATGTCTATAGACATCACAAATGCAACAACAAACAACATGTCTGAGGAACAGGTAATATTAGACAACATAGAGGAAATCAAAGACACAACTGAACAGAAGCTAGATGTATCAGAAAATATACAAAGTGATAGTTTATTAAATAAGACACAGAAACTAACCCTTATATTAACTCTCAAGAAGACAATGACAAACAAAAAGGCTTAAAAGAAATACTAACTAAATAGTAGTCTAGTCTTTTTTCACCTATTCCTTCTTTAGGCCCAGAAGCCAAATTAGATCAAAAAATGAAAATGCCTTAATGATAGATGTTCAAGGCATGCATAACTCCTTTAATGAAATTATGACCTCATTATTCAAGAACTTCAAAGAGGACATCATAGTAGCAAAACAACACTTCACAAAAGAAACACGAACACATGTAAAAATTGTATTTGAAAACAAAGAAAATTAAAACACCATATGCTCAAGTGAATTAATATTTTTGGCAGAACCTATTTTGGCTTTATTCTTACAGATTCAAGAAAATCTTTCCTTTTAGTCAAGATCAGAAATGTTTCTCTAGGGAACAAAAAAGCATTATCTAATGCTATAAAAGAAGCCTTTGAGTTTGTTAGTAAAATTGCCTCAATTAAGCCTTTATTGATTGAAGGAACACCATACCTTATAGACTAATAGATTATAATCTTTGAAAACTTACATGACCCTAATTTAGAAAATAAAATTTCTCATTTCACATATGTGTGGAACAATAAAGTTACAAAGAATAGAAATCAGCATCCAAAATATGCTACTTCTGTGAAAAAGAAGATCATATCAAAAAAGAATGTTAATAATTCCAGGATTCAATAAACTTACCAATTAGTTACCAAAAAATACAAAGAGGATAAATACAACAGAAGTTTCTCAGATGACTTGCAAAAGTCAAATATGATACTAGAAAACATTAAACAAATCAATAAAGAATCTTCACTATAAGAAAATTTGAAACTACCAGAACTAGATGATACAAAAAATAATGCACATATGGCCTTAGAAGAGACTGATCCTAACTATCAACAGAACCTCCAACCCCTAGTTCTAACAGAACCAGCTACAATCAACATCAGCTTAGATGAACAAATGCAAATAACAACTCAAGAAAATCTCTTACCAGATATAGAATTGCTGCCAAGAGACGAACTTGCCATTTATGGCTATAGAATATCACATCTATCTGCAAGTCACATTTTCAAGGCAGCATCTCCTCCTGACAAAAATGAAGAAACAGATAGTTTTATTACAGTCACTAACAAGAAATCAAAAAAAAGAAACAGAACATCTAAAAAGGAGGAAACAAGATTATCTCCTTAAAAGAAAACTTGTAAAGAAGAAAATTACTTCCAATTTAAGGGATCTAACAACCTCTTATAATTATGCCTCACAAAACCAAATTAAAAATAACAACACTAAACATAAAAGGACTTAATGAAAAAGCAAGCAACAAAATTCACTAACTCTTTTAAAATCATACAAATTAAACATAATATTGCTTCAAGAAACTAATCTTAATAATGAAAAAACACAAAAATTTCTTAACCAAAATGGATCTACAATTCAATCTGGACCAAAAAAACAGCAATTCTAGCAGGAAACAAAGACATTGAATTTAAAAACATTCAGACAAGCCATAAAGAAAGAATAATAACAGCAGACTTTGTGTTTAAAGGATACTTCTTCAAAATAACAAATGTCTATACACCACCAAACATTAGTAACAGAATAATCTTCTTTAATAATTAGAAACCCCTAATCAAAGAAAATAGCATAAACATTATGGCAGGTGACTTCAATGTCAATCTCAATCCTAATAATAACAGGATTAAGCCAAGCAACAGCCCAACATAACTCAACTAGAACTCAGCTCTACAACTTAACAAAAGAATTTATTAATATAGCAGAGATGTCAAACACCAAGCCCTTTCTAACTTTTTTTCAAAAAACACAAAATAATTGCTTAATAACTACATGCTTGGACTACATCTTTATAGATGAGAACCATAATTACCTTATATTAGAAGTTAGTACACACTTTGGCAACTCAGACTAGAGGCCTGCATTGGGTTCTACAGCCCAGGCCTAAAGCAAAATTTTATAATTGCAGGCTGAACCAGGCTGAAAAAATTGTAAACCTTTATAATTGCAGGTCAGTACAGGTCAGTACAGGCCTAAAATTTTGTAAAATTATATAAGAAATTTTTGTGGGCTGGGCTGGGCTAAAGAAAAAATTTAACAAATGCAGGCTGGGCTAGGCTGGCAAAAAAATAATAACCCTAAATATGGGCCAGACCAGGTTTAAAAAAAAATTTTAACCCTAACTGTGAGCTGAGCTAGGTTTCAAAAATAGGCAATTTGCAGGCTCCTAACTCAGATCACCTCCTAGTAAGATGTATACTCGAATTCAGACAAGATTCTAAACAACCTTCAGCCTGGAGGTTCAATAAAGAATCTTTTAAAAATGAATTACTAAAAAGAGAGGTGCTAGAGGAAATTCAGGATGCTAACTCAGCAGAAAACTGGAATATATATAAAATCTATATACAATCAATTATTAGAGCCTTTTGAAAACCCAAAGCTCCTGAAAACAAAATAGCAAGACTAAACAAAGATATTACAAGGTTAAGCAAAGAGCTTGCAGCAGACTCCTCAAAAGAAAATTTCAATGAAAATATAGAAGAACTTAACCTTCAAATACAAAAAGAATTAACTAAGATGACTGAATTATGGTTAATCTGGTCAAAGACAAAATGTATTAAAAATGAAGAAAAATCAACAAAATATTTTTTCTTAAGATACAAAGCAAGAAAATCACAAAGTACTCAATCCAAAATTGAAATACTGAAACTTTAAGCTCAAAAAATAAAGATACAATTATGTATATTAAAAACTAATATACAAAAATCTATAAAAAAAAAAACATTGACTACAAGGTAGCAGAAGAAATTACTGAAAACCTTCTACAAGTACTACAAGGCCAAAATGACAATTTAGTTAAAAGAATTTCACAGGAAGAAATAAGTCAAGTAATACAAGGCCTTCCTAATAACAAGTCACCTGGCACTGATGGGCTGACCTACAAATTCTACAAGCTTACATTATTAGAAATACCATCAGTTCTTGAAAAGGTGTTCAATTAAGTATTAGATACTAGCTGCTTACCTGACTCATGGTGCAAAAACATAATCATATTAATTCTTAAAAAATCAAAAAACTTAAAGGATCTAAACAACTGGCACCCAAGCTTATGGGTAAATTGTAATGCCAAAATCTTTATAAAAATTATAGCAAATAGGCTCAATATAATTTGTGCCTAGCTATCAACAAGGATTTATTTCTGAAAAATCAATAACAGACATGGCCATAGACATAATTACCATATTAAGGAACCAATCAGATAATTCTAAGCAGCACTGGATGCTTTTAGTAGATCAGCAAAAGGCATTTGATAGAGTAAATTACAACTTCCTAAATCTGGTTCTAAAAAAAATGAACTTTGATAAAAAAAAATAACCAACTTGGTGGCCAACTTTTTCTCAAACCAAATAGCACATATTATAGAAAGCAATGTTCTGTCTAAACCCTTCAGAGTAGAAAGAGAAGTACAACAAGATGTTTCTCTCTCTCTTTTATTATATATAATTGCTTTTGAATCACTACTTATACAACTAGAAAGAAACATTCAAGAAATTCTTTTAAAAAATCAATTTTTTAAACTATTAGTCTATGCAGATGACTTAACATTAAGAATAAGCTCATCATCAGATTGGACAAGCATCATGCAACTTTTCAAAACCTATGAAGCTGCCTCCAATGCAAAGATTAACAAAAGCAAAACCAAATTAGTGCCTCTTACAAGCACAGTTTACAGGATTGAGCTTAAAGATGAATCCCAATTTATGAAAACTACAGAACATGAGACACTAACAATTCTTGGTTACAAAGTGAACACAAAAGGCATTTCAAAAAAAGATCTATGAACATCAACAATCAACAGAATAAAAAAAACACTAGAGAAATTATCTAATCAAATTCTTACTTTTAGGAAAAAAATTCTTTTAGCCAAGGCACTCATACTCTCATAAATATGATATGCAGCATACCTGACTCTGCCAAATAAAAAATAGATTGCAGAAATAAACAGACTTATGATCTTCTAGATTAAAACCAACTCCAGAATGCTGCCTAGATACTCCATATTTCAACAATCTCTTAAACAAAATGGCCTTCAAGCTCCAATAGTAGAAGATATGCTAGATGCTAGACTAATCTCAGTATGGAAAAAACTCCTTACTAGTAACTTTACATGGGCTAAGTATGAAAGAGAAAAAATTGCAGAAATCCTACTAGAAAAGAAAAACATTTCAATAAACCAGGCACTTAGAACAGACATAATTAGATCAAAAGCCAGGCCAAAAAAATGGAAACCATATCTTTTAGCCTAGAAAAATGCCAAAGGCAAAGTTACTACAACAATAAACTGGCCCTAGAAGCTCAAGGAAATTGAAATAGGAAAACTTAATAGTAAAGAACTCTCAGTTAAGAAAATCATCATGATTTTAAGAAAAAGACTAGCATCTGAATCACCTAGTCCCAGTCAACAACCCAACTGGATGCTTGTTAAAAGAACAGCTAACATGAAAAAAGACATCTTATAGCACCTTTTCTATAAAGCTTTACTACTAGGATATTGACTATAGCATATAAGCTCTTCTAATACAGAAAGCTGCCCCTGGTGTGATAATGAGCTACAAACAGCTGAACATTTCATATTTAAATGCAAAGTTAGCAAAGAAATCTGGAAACAGGCCTACAGTCTTCTAAAAACTAACCAAATTTAGACTTCTCTAACCTCTATGGAAGAAATTTTTACAGCAACAAACATTATAAACAATAAAAGCAAGCAAGCCACTCTCTGGCTACATACAAGAATAATCTATAAAATCTGGTGCACTTACACTTCTTTCAAATGGGAAGACAGCAACCTCTCAAATAGAATTCTACCTTCAATAGTAATCAAATGTCTTCATAAAGACATATACACTCTGTATTATAGTTTGAAAAACTGTTCTCAAAAAACAAAAAATATATATAAATGTATTCAATCTTCTTAATAATTGATTTTTAATAAAAGAGTGCCACATGCATCCCTAGATGCTAACATCAGAGATAAAAAAAAAAAGACACACTAAGAGAACTCAAAGCCAATACAGCTTTAGAAATTTCAGACATAAGCTATACTTTAATAAAACAAGTGGGAAGAAATTACAGAAGATTTTCAAAGCCTTCACAAATCTAGCTTTAAAAATAGAAAAAATGCCAAAAAGGTGAAAAATAGTACAAATTTATCCAATTCCAAAAGATGTAGACTAAGAATATAATTTGAACAATATTAGACCAATAGCATTAATTGAGACTTTTAGAAAGTTAGTCATATGCTAAACATGATAATAGAGGAAGCACAAGAGAAGAATAAGAAAATATAAATACTTCTACAAGATATTATGAAAGCATTTGACTCAGTCCCATTGAAAAGCTTAGAGTGGGCTCTTAGAAGAGTTAAAATACTACAAAGAACAACAAAATATATCATTAACCTCTTCTGCAAATGTCAACTTAAGGTGATTACAACTTATGCCTAACAGAAGAGATAACAGCAAGAGATGGTATAGACCAAGGAGAGGTGATTTCTCTACTAATCTGGCAGCTTTTCTATATCCACTTTTGAAAAAATCCAAGAAGATAAATCTTTGGCTATACAGTAGAACAAAAAATATTAAAAAATATGAACATTAATTGTATTACAAAACATAGGCAAGCAGCAATTGCTTATGCAGATGATACTACATGGATTGCAAATAGCAAAAATCAATTACTAAAAATCTTAAAATTGCAAAAGAGTTTTTCAAAGCAAATGAATTGAAATAAATAAAGCAAAGTTAAAGCTTATAGTAATAAATTCTAGACTGAGAAAGGAAAATAGAAAAATTATATTTGAACAGAGTAGAATAATAGAAAAACCAAAAAACAAAATTGTAAGATCATTAGGAATTTGGCTAAATAGTAGAATAAGAGAGTTACTAGTCTGCAAAAAAGCAAAGAAATAGTTAGCCAAACAGTTAGAAATCTTAGATACAAAAAAATAACAATAAGCCAGATCATATACATAAACAATACAGTAATAATTCCAAAATTAGGATACCTTCTGCTGTTAACAAGAATGTCTAAAAAGATGAT